TCTGCTCTTCCTTTACTAGTTTCTTAAGGTGGGAGTTTAGATCGCGGACACAAAACTTTGTCTTCCTTTCTTAATTAATATAAACATTTAATACCAGAACTTTCCCTCTACTGCTCTCACTACATTCCACAAAACCTGACATGCCCTATTTCCATTATCAGTTGAAAACATTTTCTTATTTCTCTTGCCATTTCCTCTTCGACCCCGGGGTTATTTAAAGTGTGTTGCTTTCATTCCCAAATATCTGGGGATATTCCAGCAATCTTTTTCATTGATTTCTAGTTTAAGCCCATTATGGTCTGAATAAATACCGTGTATATTATTTTAATTCATTACGGTTTGTTTGATGGCTGAGAATCTGGTCTATCCTGATAAAAGTTCCATGTACACTTGAAAAGACTGTGCACCAGGACGTGGCTGGGGGAAGGCTCTGCAAGTGTCACTCATGTCAGCTAGGCTGCCACTGCTGTTCTGGTCTCCTGTATTCTCACTGGGTTTCTCTCTAGATGCTATGTTGATTTCTTTCTTTTTTTTTTTTTTTTAAGATTTTATTTATTTATTTGACAGAGAGAGACACAGCCAGAGAGGGAACACAAGCAGGGGGAGTGGGAGAGGGAGAAGCAGGCTCCCCGCAGAGCAGGGAGCCCGACGTGGGACTCGATCCCAGGACCCTGGGACCATGACCTGAGCTGAAGGCAGTCGCTTAACCAACTGAGCCACCCAGGCGCCCGCTATGTTGATTTCTAGTAGAACCGTCTCCTATTGACAGAAAAACTGCAAAGGTGGTACAGAGCATTCCCACATAACCCACACCCAGCATCCCATTATTAATATCTTACACTAGTTAATTAATAAACCAATGTTGATACATAAATCCATACTTTATTCAGATTTCCTTCGTTTTTACCTAAAGTCCTTTCTTCATTTCAGAATCCCACCTAACACATCACATTATATTAGTTGTGATGTCTCCTCGGCCTCCTCTTGGCTGTGACAGTTACTCAGACTTCACTGGTTAGATATTTTGTGGAATGTCCCTTAACTGGAATTTGTCTTAGGTTTTCCTCATCACGGGGTCTCTGAGAGGAAGACCACACAGGTAAGATGTCATTTTCACTACACCATGACAAGAGTGCAAACTGTCAACACAACTTATCATTGGCTAGTCACTTTATCTGGCTGAGGAAGTGTCTGTCAGAGTCACTGTCAAGATGCTCTTTTTGTTATCTTTCCATATAGAACTCTTTGGAAGGAAGTCATGGTGTATGGACACTGTAGAGTGGCCAGTTTGTTCTTCCTCCTTGAGGAGGGAGCATCTACACAAACTATTTGAAATTCTTCTGCAGGGGAGATGTCTCTTCTCCATTTATTTGTATCAGTATGAGCTAACGAATACTTTGTACTTTGGGTTCTAAGACAACACAGCTTTATTTTATTGTACAAATTATTATGCTGCTGCTGTTGTTGATTGTGTCAATCAGCTCTGGCCAATGGAAGCTCTTTCAGCTGGCTCCTGTGTTTCTCTGACAGAACCCCTGCCTCCAGGGGTGGGGTTTTGTAGGGCTTTTAATACTTCCTTATTTTTGTACTACATGATGCTCTAGGCTCCTCTTGCCCCTGTCGTAAAACCGGCCATTTCTCCAAGGAGCCCTGGGTCCTTTTCCTGGAGAATGGTATGAGAAACCAAGATCTGGGCACTCATCCTTGTTCCCAGTGGCATGTCATTACTTCTAGACTCTTGTAGCCCACAAAGCGAGTCTTTTTGGTTGAACTCTTCGTGGCTCAGTGTGGGTAATTTCTAATGTCCTGTACTGATTCTTTCCTTGAGTCGGCCCAAGTTCACCAATAAGCCCATAAGCATTCTTCATTTCTGCTGTGGTGTTTAGTTCTAGCATTTCCATATGATCTTCCCTCTCTCTGCTAAAATTCCCCGCCAGTTCACATATTGTCCATTTTCCCCACAATCCTTTAACATATTTAATCAGTTATTTTAAATTCTCTGTCAGACAGTTCCAGCATTTTTAAATTTCGTTCTATTGACTACTCGTGCTCATGAGCTTTTTTGGGATTCTTTTTACCTTGTTTGTCTTGCAATTTTGGGCTAAAAGGTGGACAAGTTGTGTAGGGTAGTAGAAACCGATGTAAACATTATTTCTGGAATGAACACATTTCTTATTCTCTAGACCTTTAGTGTGGGGTTTAAATCAATCTTAAGGTGAGCAGCTGAACTAGGTTTGCTAGGACTGATTTCCCTCAGCGTGTTAGACTTCAAATGTGTCTCAAGTTACTCTGTATTTATACTTAGGGCTGGTTTGTCAACTTTTTCCCCACGTCACTCTTTAGCTTACTCTTAGCTAAAGTTCTTCCCTGTAAGCTTGCTCCTGTGCCTGATAAAAGTCTCCCCCTACACCAGCCTTTCCTCTTATCAGCTGGCTGCTGTTACTGGAGGTCTGGTGGAATGGAACAGTGGGGAGAAAAGCCACTGTTCTGCTTTAGGCTGTCTTAGGCAGCTGAAGGGTCCCTAGCTCTCACTGACCCTGCTTCAGTGGTAGGGGATCTCTTTAACAGTTGGGGCCCAGAACGTGTCCCTGCCTCTCCCATGGGCTAGAGGATTTTTTCTGGTCCGTTCTTCCCACTGCAAATGGTCTTCACCTGTGTCTTTATGACTAAAGGATTTCCTTAATGGCCTAAGGACTTCGTTCAGCAGGTGCTAGAGGAAGGATTACGGTGGGGACTCGTGCATTTTCCCCAAAGGCTGCTGCTCTGTTTCCTGAGGCCCATTCTTCAAGGGAAGCTTTTTCTGGCCTCTTGCCCTGCCCCGCCACCACCGTTTCCCCAAGAAGAGCTTACAGGTGTGTGCATATTCCCCTGGCGTCTACAGCTTTCAGGTTTCTTTGCCCTCCTTGTCCCCTAGGGAGATTTGGGAGTTACCTAGCCTACTATTGTCCTGCATTTATGGAAAACGTATCTGAACTCTTAATTTCACCAAGATGAAAAATGAAACTATGAAAGTACCCCAGTTCCTTGGTGTAAGGTAAGAGCTAATATATACTAACTTACCCCTTTTCTCCTTATTTCTTGAGTTTTATTAAAATAATCTAAAATGTATTATTTGTTTCCAACATGTAACTTATTCAACTATTCATTTATTCATTCTGAACATTTAACCATCACATTCATATTAATAATTTACAAACCCTATCCATTTCCTTTATCATCACTTTTATGAATATTACTCCTGTAAGTTCTTTAACTTATTTTCTGTTGGGTTTTGGTCAAGTCCATCTTCAGGTACTTCACGCCGAGAACAGAAGCCTGATGGAACGCTGAGGTCGCTGAGGTCGCAGAGACCGGGGAAGGCCTGCTCTGTCCTCACACGTCCCAGCAGTCAGCAGCAGTGAGCCAGGGGCACAGTCGTGCCCTCCGCTTTCCGTCTTTATTTAGCTTCACAAATGAGATGCCTGGCAATCTGATCTGCTTTGTAGTTAACCCGTTTTTTCTTATCCAAGTATTTCTAGGATTTGTCCTTTCTTCTTGGGATGCATAAATCTCATCAGGAAAAGGCTAAAATCTGAGTGCCACCCTCCCTTTTAAATTTAATCTTGAGTATAGCATTTGATCACTTTCTGATCTGAAGACAAGTTCCTTCTGGTCAAAAATTTCCTTCTATTGTTTCTCTTATTGCTGTATCTTCTCTGCTCTAGATTGTACAATTATGTGTTTTCTTTCTTCCATGTGCAAAGATGTACCTTTTTTCTCAGATTTATTCCTTTCTCAAGTCAGGGTATTTGACAGAAGCCTCACAGCACAGCACCATTTCAGATGCTTTCAAACCATGTGAAGAGATGGTACAACTGTTGTGAAGCATGAGGAGCAAGATGACAGGCCTGCACCACCTGATTACTACCTTCATCCCTGGTTACATTCTTTAAAATAGAATTTGCAGTAGAAGATACAAACACAGTCAAAATTGCAGACAATCCCCAAATTACAAGATCTTTGAAGCGGTGTTGCCAAACTGCCTTCCATTACCACAGACCAAATATTAGACATACCGGGAATAGAGATAAAGGAATTTGGGAAGTGGAATGATTGTATTCACTACTTTGCCAGAAACCAAAATGACATCATGAAAAGTACATCCAGAAACCTTGGATGGCCGAAATTTTCATATGTTGACAGCAGCCTCCTCTGTCCTCTCCAAGCCCTCTGGTTTACTGGAGAAATCTAACAGTGAGTGAGAAAATACGAATTCCAATCCCTACACCACATATTCCTGGAGTGCTCACATATACATACCTCTTCAAATCCTCATGCTCCAGGGAACAATTGGAAAATTCTGACAATTAGTAAGTGAATTAGCACTGGACATAAACTGTACAGAGTAATATGACAAACATCATCTGGCTGGCCCAGGGCACATACATGGGAAAAGCAGACAATATTTCTGATTCTGAAACACTTGGCACAATTTTTCCTTAAAGGCCGCAAGCCACCTGCCCACCCATTTTAAAACAGCCTCACAAACTGCAGTGCCCTCACATGTGAAATCCCCAAAGAACCAACCTGAAGCCTCAAGTTAGCTTGTGTAGAAAAGAATCACAAGACAGAAAGCGTCCCTGAACTGCCACTTGGGAGGGGAGAGAGCTGCCCACTGACCAGGAGGAACACCTATTTTCATTTCATAATCAAGAAATACGCTTCTCTTGTGTTACATGTTTTATTTATGACACCACTTGTTATAGCTAGCTACCTTCTCATAACTACTACAAATAACTAAACACTGCCAGTGAACAGTGCTCACCAAACGCTATCTTCAACTGTATCCCTATATCCCACGCTCACACGAAACTAACTCAGAGTTCACATATGGTGGAGACTCAGCACCTGCGATTCAAGGGCATGAGATTGTAGCTAATCAACCAACAACTTTTAGTTTCTAGAAAATCTCAAAGCAAAACAAAATGGCTCAGCATTTGTAAGACAAAAGGAAAGCTTACGTGGGCCGCCGTGTCTCAAGTAAAGTCAGCAGTATCTGGATTGCACTGACTATGGCGGATTCATTTTTCTCCTTGTGGAAAATATTTGATAGAAGCTGCTCTATAATTTCTTGCCTAGGGAAACAAACCAACAGTCAAGTGCTAACTGTAACATCCATTACCAGTAACGCCAGAGAAGAAGAGCATGGCAGCAGTCAGGCAAGTACTCTACAAGAGCTCAGCTGCACTTGGTCAGATCTATTTCGTTTCACAATATTTTATTTTTAATACATTTATTAAACCAGACAAGTGACCCCGCTTATTATAAAACCTAACTCTCCGACATGTATTCCCCTATTCCCTCCCCTCAGCAGAATCACCTGGGCCCTGCTTGCCTTTGTCAATCTTGTTGAGAGCCAACAAGTATTTCAAGACTGGAAGTCACCTCCCACTCAGACCGGGTGCTGGTGGTGGTGGCTGTGGGTGGTAAGATTTGGAACTCTTCACCCCACAAAAGGAGGGGAATTTTTCAAAAAGCCTAATTAGAACCCACAAATGTCTTCCCACAAAGGCATTAATGTATAATTAAGATCTAAAACACGTAAAAGATCAATTGTTGCATTTACCCTCTAATTAAAATTTGGTGAATCAAAATAATATGGTAGCAATGAAGTAGATTTGCCTGAACTATTGCCCAAAATGTATTCTCTATAGGCACACTCGTTTTTGCTGGTTATCATATCGTTTTTGTCCATCAGTAGGATGGACATTACACACTCAAGCCATGATGAATGTAAAACACAAGGGTAACTTGTTAGGTAAATTTATATGGACACTCCCAAGGAAGATCTCGGTTTCTTAGGATCTCAGTAATTTTCAGAATCCAAGCGAATGAAACACTGGCATCTCCCTTACAGTGGGACACACAGCTGGGCTGTCCCTGTTGCTCACCCAGCAGAGATGCCAGCTGTCCCGAAGTACAGCTGTGCTCACTGCATCCCAACATCCCCTTACCAGGCTAGGGCAGCAAGCAGGAGAGAATCTCTTTTTATTTGGGGGAAGCAAATAAAACTGGTATCTAACCTAACTTGAGAGCACCCCCACCCCCGATGGAAGGAGCTTTCAAGTACTGCCAGACCAGCACTAAAACGGTGAGCCCTTTACCCAAAACAGCGCTATAAAAGTCACTCAACACATAGCAGTCTCTAAAATAAATACTAGGTTTGGGACTGGGCTCTAGAAAACAGCCAGCTCTTTCATAGGAAATAGGTATGTATTTTTCAAAGAGCAGCCTCACGCCACGTAGAGGAGTACGGACACAGCATCCAACTGCAGATGTCCACCTTCTTGTTCCAGCGTAACGTTCTTACCGGAGAGTGCAATCACAGTTCCATAAATGCAGAAGCCTGAGGGAGTGGCTAACAAGGAGGCCCTCACCAGCTCAGGGCCTCATCAGTCGACTACATCCATGAAAGCATCCTACTAATGCACAAAAATGATATGACAGCCAGCAAAAATCTGATGGTCAAGATGTAACATAGTATAGTAGCTGAACCGTATTATGAGTCTTATCTAAACACACAAATATCACTCAATACAGAAGAAATCATGAACTGAAGGACTAAGCCATTCAAACATGATAAAATGAATGCCTTTGTATTCCTTAAATATTAAGGCATTTATTTACATGTGAGAGAAAATAGATTTACTTTCACATTTGAAAAAAACTGGAGTTCTTGGACGAGTGTTAGTAAACTCCCCATAAGAGCTGTGAGGGCACGAGGCACACAGGCCCCGGGGGCCAGACCCCACATCTGGGAGGGCCCCGGCGGCACTGACACTCAGTGCTCACTGCTGACCAGTCTGGCATCCGGGGGGAACCTGCTGTCCCTGGCGGCCACTGTACTTGAACTAACCTGTCCTAAGTGTAAAATACACGCTGGATTTCCAAAACTGTGACAAAGAAAAGAATGTAGAATACCTCAGTAATTATTTTTTAAATGGGCATATGTTCAAATATTTTGTGTCAATTAGATTAAATAAAATATATTATTAAAATTAATTTCACCTATTTTTTACTCAAATGTGGCTACTAGATAATTTAAAATGACATCTGACTTTTATTTCTATTGGACAATGCTATCATGAACCATGAGATTGTTGGTATTCAAAAATTTTTAACATACTCAAATGGCAATTTTACATGGTTCAACCTAACACTACTATAATTACTAGTATTAAATGTGGAATATCTTAGATGTACAAAGAGTACATATGCCATAATGCCAAGAATAACGGAAATGGGGAAGGAAAATGACATTTTACTTAGAAGCTGGTAATTTAAGTTTCCCTACTTCAGAGAATTAGTCAACTCCCTTCCTGGGAAAATACAACTCTACTTCTCAGATGACAGACTTTAAAAATGACACCATGTCTCTGATTTGTTCCTAGCTCATTTCACTGTGTGGATGCAGGTCAAATGTATGCCTGTGCTCAATGGCAAATATTCTTTCAGAGAATGTGTGAATCTAGAAAAGCTAGTACCCACGGGTTGGCCATTCACAAATTTCAAAACAGCACACCATCCTCAAGCTATTTTCCACCCAAACATGAGATGGCTGCTCACAAGGAATTGTCATGAAAAATAAGGGCAGAGCAGTACGAAGACAAAAAACATACAAGACTTGTAACCCTTCAAATCAGGTCTGGTCAGGTTACCCCTAGTCAGCTGCAAAGGTATAGTAAACCCCAAGAAGAGCTTCTGGTAAAAATCCTTGACTACAATGGGTCAAATTAGTTTGTGTTTCAGACTATTCTTCACCAAAGACCTGCAGAGCAGTAACCACAGCCATGATGCGCTACCCCATCTTACGACGGCTTTATGGAATTCTAGTTTACAGCTATTTGAAGAGTTCGAGGTCTACATATAAATGTCATTTATTTACATTTTTACCCTGCAGGTCTCCACTGGGCATCAAAAATAGCTGAGATCAGATAAGCCGGTTCTCCTACCTTCTCCCCCACCCAAGGGTATTGAGCAGGGTCATGATTCCCCCAGATGGAAGACTTACCAACCACTCATACTGGTAACACATCAAATAGCATCAATTAAAAAAAAAAAAAAAAGAACAGGAACAGAGTTTTAAACATACTTTTCTAGAGTGGCAAGCAGGGGATCTGGTTCTGTACTGTTCTGAATTTGTAACATCTGGTCTCTGCTCAGGCGAACAATTTCACAAAGTGACTGTGAAGCATTTGAATGCCGCTAAAGGAAAAAAGTACAATTTTAACCATAAAACACATCAAATGTCAAATTTATAACAAAACGTTAGTGAGGACATTGCTTAAGAAGTAACACAAATCAACACTGGCCATAAGAAGCTGCAGTGAGTAAAAAGTCAAGCTCAGTAGAAGTAACATAGGTAAACACAAGAGTATTTGGTTGTGCCAGGCTAATGAGCTTCACATAACAATACTGCACAGTACAGATCACTACGTGTAGGTACATGGGATCAAAGTTCTGGCAAGGAAGAATTTCTACAACTGAGAACTTGAAAAAAAATACACCCCCAAAATACAGCTGACCTTTGAACAACATGGGTTAGAACCACACAAGTTCACTTCCACGTGGATTTTCTCAATATGGTATAGTACTTATTTAAATGGATTTTCTCTCATGATTGTCTTAACATTTTCTTTTCTCTAGCTTGCTTTACTGTAAGAATATGGTATGTAATACATATACAAAATATGTGTTAATTGATGGTTTACCTTATTAGTAAGGCTTATGGCTAATGGGCTATCAACAGTTAGGTTTTATGGAGTCAAAAGTTTTACATGGATTTTCGATTTCATAGGGGGTTGGTACCCCTAACCCCTATGTTGTTCAAAGGTCAACTGTATATATTTTTATCAGCATAGAAGCTGATAAATCAGCTTTTAAATCAGCACTGATTAAAAAAAAAAAAGACAAATACAGCTTTCTGGAATATACCAATGGGTAAGAAATGTTGCATCTTCTCCCAATGTACTGTGTGTTTACCTTACAGGAAAGGTCTAAAATCTCAGCACCTGAATGCATTATAGTCTGCGGCACGTGGCACTGAGCGCAGCCCGCAGATGGAGCAGTTACACAGCCGGTTCAGGTGGACCGTGATACTACGGCACAGATGACAACACACAGCAGGGTATCAAAACCCACTGACTAGAATTAGGAACCTAACACTTCCCTGGTCAGTATGATTTTAGCATACAATTTATCACTTAATACAAAAGAGAAGTATCGAAAGGATTGTCCAGAGACAAAATTAACTTTCTTGCAAGTCAAGTCAAGAAGGTAATGCTCCAAATGCTTTGTCCTTAAAAAAAAAAAAGAAGAAGAAGAAGAGCTGCAGACTTGGGCTTCTCCTTTATCAGTTTCTCCTGAGCCTTGCAGACAGGTTTAATTTCCTGTTGAGCAATCATGTTCTTCTGTTTGAGAACTGAAAACCTAGTAATAGGCAAGCCTTGTCCACGGACATGTATTCCCTGTGAATGAGACAGGCCAGGCTCCTGTCATCACTCTCCAAGGCCCCCAGTGGCCACACTTACATCACACGGGAAACGTGCTCAGGAACCGTCGCGTCCAACTTCCCCGGCCACAGGAGGCGTTATTAGCCCAACCAGACTGCAGGCTCCCTCTAAGCAGGACTTCTCCCACTGCAGCCCCCGATACGGGCACACACTGGGATGTGTTCTGAATGTTAACAGGAGCAATACTGCAGGGGGGCACCAGATGCACTGTCCCAAGGGGAAGATGGGGAATCAACAGCACCTTTAATGATTAACTTTTTGGGGGGGGGGAGCTGTTTTAGATAAATTCCAGGTATCAGAAGTTTTTGAATACACCCAAGGAGAAGGGGCTAAATCAAGCTTTATGAGCAAGAATATCCTCTGGTTACACACTTTTCCCTTTGTACTATTCCTCCATGGTCTCACTCTTCAATCTAACTGGCAACCTAAGGCACACAAGAAGGTCCCCTGACCTCCCCATGACATATCTGCCCATCTACTTTAAATCACCTCCTTCACAGAGAGTAGGCTGAGCCGCAGAGCTGTCGTGTCCACAGGCAGAAATGGCTAAACATGGGCAATTCCACAGGGCTCAGGCCGCGACAGAAGGCGGCAACAAGAGGAGCGGCAGAGCTGATAGCTTCCTCCACGGGGGCCAATGGGCCAGTCCTGGGGACCCCACCCAGACAGGCATCCCCTCAGCACAGAGCTCAGTCTTCAAACTCTGGAGCAGCTTCAATCCTTTTGCCAAGTCAATCCCCAGCTCCCGTGACAAAGCCAAACCTGTCAGTGCCAGAAGCCAGGCCAAGAAGTACGAGCGCCAAGGGCCCAACAACACTCTAGGGGTTTAACGGTGGCAAAGACGCCGATGTGCTGCCTGGACAGTGTAGCCAGAACAGAAAACACAAGTGCAGATGTGGCCTCACCATTTGGGCTAATGATGTGTATACAAGGAAAAAGAAGTGGGACGGAGAAGGTCTGTAACAAAGGCAAGCAGATTCAGCACAAAATCCCAAGCTCCAGAAGATCGTGCTAGAACCAGGGCCTGCTGTTTTCCACATTTCTGAAAGGTTCTGAGCATCAGCAAAATGTAGTATTTTTTTAAAACCTTTAGTGCTTAGAAAAGTGTCAACTTTAAGAATGCCAGATTATACCTGTCCTCTACCTTCATGTCTCATACAATTATGCTCTATGCCCAAATAAACTCGGTTCCATTTTTTTAAAAAAAAGCAAGGTTACAGTCACACAAGAGAACTTACATCTTCTTCCTGCGATGGATGAACTATTTCCACAAGTCTCTGGATAATTTGCTCCTCATTTAACCACTGTAAAACACATTGTAGAGGTAATCATAGCAATGCGTGGCTCTTGTTCAAGCCCCAATGAAGATTAACATACTTGGAAATATCCATCACATTTTAAGTAGAATGTTACAGGTTTCTCTGGACTTTGAACACTACAGGAAATTAAAAGTCCCCCAAGGAAAATGCCAGTGAATATTATTATTTAAACAGTAGCCAACAGTACCAACTATGCCCCAAATTATAATTCCCACATACAAAAATTCTAACATCAGCTTCTTAGCCACAGGGTAATTCTCAGACACTAAGCACTAAAAGGGTCTGTATTTTGTTTGGGGCGTGCACGCGCGTGTGCGTGTGTAATTTATATATTTTCTGTAAGACAGTATTCACCCTAAGACAGCATCAGAGGGGCGCTTGGGTGGTTCAGTCGGTTAAGCCCCCAGATTAGGGCTCTAGTCAGGAGGGTCAGGCTCTGCCCTCAGAGGAAAGTCGGCTTGAGATCCTCTCTTTCCCTCTGCCCGTCCCCACTCCCACGCACGTGTGTGCTCTCTCTCTCTCAAATAAATAAATCTTAAAAAAAAAAAAAAGCTTCAGAAAGACTGAGAAAAACAGTATTTAGTTTTAGACTCCAAAACCAAAACAGCCACAGGAAACACGGGGGGCAGGGCACCGTAGCAGGAGAGTTCATCTGCCCTGTCACGAGTTAGTGAAGAGCTAGTATCCTGCCTAGGACAAACTCTTTCTCATCTACATGTGAAGTACTGACGTGAATGAAAATAGGAAGAGAAGAATAAGGGAGAATAAGTATCAGCTAGTAGACTGTTAGGCAGGAACAGAAGCAACATAATAAACAAGGCACTTACAACCAAGAAAGGACACAAAAACAAAAACAACCTCAAAACAAAACCCAAAGGTTAAAGGGAAATTGGGGGGGGCAGCGGAGGCATGGGGCTGGGTGGCAAGAAATCAAACACAATTTGCTAAGGGCACAGCTGCCTGCTCCTTAAAGAGAAGGTGCCCAAGGAAAATGCAAACAAAGCTACTAGAGGGCACAAAGCTAGAGGTCCAACTTTACATTTTAAGATCAGTTTCAAAATGGGCACATGAATCACCCTCCTGGGGATCTTGCCAAAATGCAGATTTTGATTCAGTAGGGCAGAGGTGAGACCTGAGTCCTCAGGTGACACTTGGGGCCACACTTTAGTAGCAATGGGCAGGGGGGTCATGACCACCAAGGGAGAAGGAAGGAAACTTTGTGGGCTATGAAAGGATCAGCCCCTCACTCCTACTGCCTCCACAGCCATTAATAAGCACTTATTCCCCCATGACGGGCACCCAAATCAAAGCTTCTAACTACCCTTCCCCCAACCTAAGCCTTTACTATCACTACATCCCTCCAGAAGCGCATCTATTCCTTTAGAAATGGCCCTAAAATTCAACCCAGAAGTGACCAAAGGAATTCTAAGAAACTATACTTAATAATTTCTGCCTAGAGCAATCCAAATATAAAGGTGACCCCTCTCATTGCCCTCAACAATCTTTCCTGGAATCCTCAACATCTTCTGAGAAAAGATATCCACAAAAACATACCTAAAAGGAACCAGCACCCCAATTTAGGATCCCTTCCCACAGGCAACTCCAGGACATTCACTAGGTATCCTCAGCTGGTGTCCTCACAATGACCATGGTTCTCAGGAGACTTCTGCCTGGTTCTACAGACCCAGCCCTGACCCCATCCCCTTTACACAAACACATGCCTGGGCATGCCTGCTCACCTCAGCAGAACATGCCTTTCCTGGAATACCACCTGACAGACCCTCCTGCCTCTCCTCTGGTTCTTTGAGTCTTTAATTAAAATCAGTATTTCCAATAAAACTAATTTCAAAGGAATGAGTGTTAGGGTTTGAGGCTGAGTATTAAGGATGGAGTGGGTTGGGGAAGGTTCTGGAAGAAGGCAGTGAAGAGAATGAGAGAGGAGGAGACAGAAGACAAGAAGGGGCAAAGATAAGAGCCCGTGAGAAACCTCATCTTCCAGTTACTCACACTCTCCCTCTTCCCGCCCAAATTCCACTTAAGACAGCTCTTCAAGAGGCGCACATATCCTAAAATATCCATCTACCAAAATTTTAAAATATGTGTGCTTTTGGAAATAAGCCCCATTCTCCTTCTCCTTCTATGATCCTAACTACCCACAAGAGGAATGTTACCCTGAAGGCTGATTTCCTGGAAACACCCGAACCCATCCTTGCAGCCATGACCCTGCGGTGTAGTCACGCTCTCAAGATCGATGCCTCATGGCATCCTCAGATGAGATTTGTAACTCCCTGTCTTCTGCTCTTACCACCAGACCAGTTTTAAACACATTTTCAACCCATTCCACTGCCCCACTCCCACTGAAAATCAAACCGGCAAAGGGTAAAGAACCCCTCACAAAGAAACATCCCAGGCACCTCCGGATGTGCACATCTCGAAAACGAATCCTGCAAAATTGTAATCTCTTCCTACCTTGGAACCACCTTCCTTCCCCACCCTGCCCTCCTCCCCCCCCCCCCCCCCCCCCCAGCCAGGCCCACTAGGGAACGCAAGCTGTTGGGTAAATAAATAAAATCTTAAAAAAAAAAAATCAGACAACCTTCGCCTCCTCCCAACCCCCTGGAATCCCTCCCAGCACCCAGCAGCCCTGTCGGCTCCTGGGCCACTCCCCGCCCCGGCGCAGGAGTCCTAATTCTACTCACATTCAGCACATCTTGCCTGGGCTGCGGAGGCTCGATGCACGTCAGGAGCCTGAGCAATAAATCCATGATGGCCGAAGTTCCTATGTGCTTTATTATAAGGTCTACAAAATCACGTTTCTTCTTTAAGAAATCCACAATCTAGAGGAGAACAAACCAAAACTCAAAGACACGTAACTGGGGAACTATCAACTTTAGAATGTATTCCACCCTGACCCCTCAAACTGCCCCCTCTCAAATCCCACCACCATCTTAAGTGGAGGATGGCAAATGCTGAGTTAGTAATCAGATGTAAATTTGGAAAGCCTGCTAATTGTGAGAGTATGCAAAACCCCTTGGGAAAAAAACTCCCAAATTATCACACATTTCCTCATATAAATACACTATAATAGAATCTTTTATTTCTGTTCACTTTCATTATTAGTTTTCAAAGAATAAGGATAAATAATTTAATACCCTATAAAGAGCACGAGAATATACCATTAAACAGTTTATGGACATAAAGCAAGTCCATTAGACTGCACTAAAATGCAGAATAAATATTCAAAATCCTCATTAGTCCCTACCAAGTAAGAAAAATAATTCAAAACATCAAGTGTTTTTAAGTCAGTCTAAGCGGCTAACTCACCTGCTCCAGCAACATCACATGTGGGTCTGAGGTCAGCTGTTCACCTGACCAGATTAACACAAGGAGGGTGAGTGGGGAAGAGACGGGCAGCTATACAGAAGGGACACGAGAAGTTACAACTGCCACCTGGGTCTCTCTTCTGTGCAAGAAGAGGGAGAGCGTTCTGTCCTGCACACCCTTGTGGGCCTTCTGTCCGTCTGCACCAAGTGTCTCTTCGAAAGTCCCAGAAGCAGCGCGGCCAGTGTGGCAGCAGCTAAATCTCACCAAATTCTATCGAGAAGCCCTCGAGGTGGGGTTGCCCCACTCAGCGTTCCAGACAAGGAAACCAAGGCGCAGACCAGTTAGGTATCTTGCTAGAGCCAAACCGTGGCTGCCCTGAGGTTTAGACTTAGATCTGGTTGCCACAAAAGCCACCAATCCTGCCATCAGCCCACGTGAAGAAGTCCACTGAGCCAGAGAGGACAAAAATTGCTTCACAATATCCGCTGCAAATGGAGGTGCAACTATCCCAGGCCGCTCCTCTGAACAGGGAGCTTAAATGTCACCATGTAAACCTTCAACAAGTCAGATACAACTATTCCACTCACAACTGAGTCACACAGTAGTTTTTAAAAGCGCAGCAGAGTAGAAAAGAGGAAAAAGTCAGACGTGACCAACATGCCGCGTGCTTCAGCGGCAAAAGCGCCAGCTCAGGAGCCCAAAGGCACAAACCAGAGCCAGCGCTGTGGACAGCACAGCAAAGACAGCAAGATGTCCTCAATGGAGGACGACACCTGAGATGCGAACCTTCCCGGCACTGAAGGGACCCCAGGGCTGGATGGCCTGGGCCGTGAGCCGATGAACAACTGCATCAGGTAAGCCAGGCTGAGTCTCCAGTTTCCTCATTACCTGCAGCTGCATGCATCCTCACTCACGTCTCACGGGAGCGGAGACCTTCATCTACATTCTCAGTTCTCCAACGGAGAGAGAGGTGTTAGGTTTGACCTTTTCCTAGAGCTAGAAGAGCGAGGGTGACTGAATCCTCCCATTCTCATTCCAAGAGTCCTAAGCCAAGAAGCACAAGGAACCACAGAGTGAGCAGGCCCCTTTCCCAGCACTTCATCGGCGGATGCCATCCCCGTGCATGGGCACGTCTGACCCGGAAGGCCAGCACAAACACTCAGCGTCCCAGAGAGCTTCACGTATTCCCGCGTATATCAAAGGTATGGTGAGAACCGGAGCCCCTGAATCTGGGCTCCCCTAGCATGGAGTGAAAAGAAAAAGCATGATGGAGGTGGAAGGCCTAAGTCAGTAACGGCTACAACCATCTGAAAGGCCAGTACCTCAGGCTGATGGGACGGTGTGCACTTGCTAGAATGTCAGCAGTTACCGTTATTTCTCACCAGAAAGTGGAAGAGGGAAAGACAGCCTGTATTACAGTAATCATGATTTGGGGATTATTATCTAAGAAAAAAGAATCTCAATTCCAATACCTTCAGGAGGATAATCCTGCCTAATTAAGAACACGAAAGAACAATCTTGTCTTTATAAAATAAAACATGCATCCACTTTGCCTTGGCAAAGGACAGACATACTGGGCCTAAAATAGCCCCATCGCTCCATGTCTGCTGATGGCAAGGACAGGTCACGGAGCCTGTTCTCCATCAGGGAGGAGGCCAGGCCCGGACGGCTGGACCAACTGCAGCCCTGGCATCACACCCTTGCTCGCTGCACTCTGGCAGGTCTAATTGTAACTTGGAAGCTCTCATTGCTCCTTGGGTGCCTGTTTCCAGAAGTGGATCCTATCTCCTGGTAAGCACATCCTTCTGCACACCAGTATCCACTAGAGCAGTGACTCTCAAGTTTTAGTATGCATCAGAATCATCTAGAAGACTTATTAAAAATCCCAGATCGCTGGGCCCCACCCTCAGAGTGTCTGATTCATTAAGCGTGAGGTGGGGCTTACAAACTTGCATTTCTAATAAATTCTCAGGTGGTACTCATGCTGCTGGTCAAGAAACCATACTTTGAGAACCACTACACATACACTAGGTCCTTGGAAAATCAATTTCCCAAGGGTATCTGAGTTGTTTAAGAACAAAACAGATGTAGGGGTGGGGAGAGGAAGGGGAGGAGAGGGAGGGGGCAGTTCCCTCCACAGTAAAGTAGGATTTTCTGCTCAGCACTACTGGACAGGAACGGCAGTCTAAACAGAGACGTCTGGAGGCGCCTGGGTGGCTCAGTTGTGTAAGTGTCTGACTTTGGCTCAGGTCATGATCTCAGGGTCATGGGATCAAGCCCCACTTGGGCTCCGTGCTCAGCAAGGAGTCTGCCCCTCCCCTAGCTCATGCTCGCGCTCTCCCTTGCTCTCTCTCTCTCAAATAAATAAATAAAACCTTAAAAAATAATAATAAAAGCATAAACAGAGACATCTCAAGCTAAACACTTAAGTTTTCAAGTGGACTCAAAATAGAAAATAATCACCATCTGTATAAACTAATCATCAGTTACATTTATGGAAAAGCTTGATTCAAAGCCTCATTTGTGTTGCGCGCATCATTAGGGGAAAGAAAAAAAAAAACAACTGTCGCTTCCCCAGTCGCTACAACTCCACTCACACCTTCAACCACTCAGTATGAGCCACGGCACTCGCCACCTTCACAACTGGACACCCCACGTTCCTATAGCTTTTAACTATTTGTCAAAAGAGGAAACCGAAGTACTTACTACAACGCTGAGCTGTGAGGCACTTAGAAGAGTACGTCAAGTTAGAACACAGTCATGAACGTGTAAGGCAGTGTTAAGTCAGTATATTTAAAATACACTCCTCTCCAAAACCTGGACTTAAGGTACACTCAGAACACAATTACTGGGGGATCATCTCAGGGGGATGATCAGCCCTAATACTTACCTTCTGGAAAATGGTATTTACCTGTTCTGGTTTTCTGCTGATGAGAATACTGAGCACCTTGCTGAAGAAACTGGCAAGTAGCGGGTTCAAGGGGGAGTCGTTTAGGAGGAAGCTATATAACCTCATGAGCAAGGACTCGTCTTCTCCCAGCCTATCGTTCATCTGGGAGACATCAGAAGTGAGCAACTCACAAGATATATTTGGGTACCTAGAAGAACAGGACACTTGTATCATCATCTGTGTTAACAGTTTCATTACAGAAAGTAAAACACAAATCAGAAAGGCTTCCTAAAATTTTGTGAAAAATAACAAAATCACCTCTGGGAATTAGAAAACCATTTCAATCCATTCTGTCCAACCTCTAGATTAAAGTGAATTTTCTACTGTACCTAAAAACTTACTTCTAAAGCAGCTTTAACAGGATATACATTCCCCAACAAAACTAGAGCACACCTAGGGCTTGGGAGCCTGGGGAGGCGGCACTGCAGGGCAGGGCGTGGGCCACCTCCGGCCACAGCCATCAGGCCTCCGAGGCCTGCTCCAGCAGGAAGCTCCAGCAGGAAGCGGCAGAGCTTGGAGGGCGACCGTGGGGGATGCTGGTTTCCAGAGAACTGCACTACGCACGGCTAAGTACTCAAGACACATTCAGGTTCCAAGACCGGCCACCTCTATTTTCACATGGGTTGCAAATGGTGCTAAAAAGCTATTTTGGGGGAGCTTATCAAGTGTTCAGTCTATATTACGCCTTAAGAGAACCAATGTTCTAACATAGGGAAGCGGAGAACAAGACATCAGCCCGAGTCACCCAAGTAGGAAAGCTGTGTACAAAACCCAAGCTCTCCACGCCAGCCTGCCCAGGTCTTCCAGGGATAAGCCCACCATCAGGGCTCACTGCAGTGGGACACAGACCTCTACCACTGACCCCACAGCTCTGGAAAGAGCTGCACCCCTAAAGCATGCTTGCCTTTGACCCCCAGAGCACTCCCTCTCTGAAAACCAGACAGCTAATCCATTTTTTCCACGCACTCCTTTTTCCACAATTTCTCTTCTGTTTTCAACAGCAACAAATGCAGACTCCGAGGCCGGCCCACAAGACACTCTCCGCCGCCCCCAAGTTCACTTCTCTGCTCTTTACTCCTCCCTGTCAAGCAGCCAGGATCCAGGACCAACTCATCATCTGGAGCGGCAAGTCAAAGGCCGGCTGGACAGAGAGGTGACAAAACAGCCACAAGTTGCTATGGGACAGGAGAGAGGCGAGGACTGTCGTCTGGAACACAGACAACACCCCTCAAGGCATCCGCGACAAGCAAGGGCAGCCTGGTGTGAGTCCCCTGGCTTGAGAGGCCACAGCCCCTGAGAGGGTCTGGTGTGAGGTCGGAAGATGGAACAGTGGGAGAATGTCCCCAAGTGAACCTTTGTAGGGAGGAAGAGAACGGAAAAGAAAGACAACAGAACTGGCAGGTGTGTGGGCATGAAGAGCATATTATCAAATAGCTGTCTTCTGTGGCTCGAATTAAAAGTCTTTCTTTCTTACTTTATGGAACATGTGGGCTCAACGATGCTGTAACGTAAAGCCGCCATTATGCCAGGGGCAGGATAATGCAGTGGGTGCAGGTGAGGCTTCTGGACTCACACCACTAGGTTCAGACTCTGTCTCTACCACTTACAAGCTGCATGACCTTGGACAAGTTACTTAACCTCCCTGGGCCTCAGTTTGCAAGTCTGCAAAATTAAGACAACAGCCTTTACCTCATGGGGAAGGATAACACAAAATACTGAGAAGGAGGCCCGGAATAAATGAAAGCTAGCTGTTTTTATTCCTCTTTATTTTCTACTTTATAAAACTTCCAAAATGCTGCTGTGGGGGATGGGGGGTGCATTGTCTCAACTGTCCCGATTTGAAACTGCTGGCAAATAAAGCACTGGCAAACCAATGCATAGGGTGTAGTCTCCAAATTCTGACACACGAGGTCTAGAACGGGGCATGGGCACCTAAAACATTTTTTTCATGAATTTTTCACATATTTTTCCACAGTGACTGAGACATATAATCTAGATAAAGAAGCATGAATATGGGGCCTGGGCACTATACATAACACTCAAGGTCCTGGTTACGGACAGGCTGGGGCTCCTCTCTCTCTCCTAAACATTAAACAAGCTTCTAAAGCACCCAAAGACCCCCTCCATTTCACCCCGTGGCAAGCCTTCCCCCTCCCCCATGCATGCTCTGACCTCAATTTCTTCGTGAGAACACGGAAGCAATCAGAAGAGAATTGCACTCCAACCTGCATCTAGGCGTCTTCCTCCTCCCTATCCATAGAGCCAACTCCTAAAGCCGCCCTCCACCTGTCCTTTTTACCAGACGGTCTCCCACCTACTCAGGCACGGCACATCCCTGGGTGGCCCACTCCCTCTGTTCGTCATTTCCCTCCGTACTGCATGGCTCTCACCAGCATACAAACGTCCCACTATTTCTCCCACCAGGGATAAAAACACCACCACACCTCTTCTGACTCCCATCTGCCTGCAACACCCACTTTCTCTCTCTGCTCCTTTTCCAGGAGACTCTTGAAAGAGCTGTCTCTGCTTCGTCCCCGGTTCTTCCTCAAAGGCGTTCCAGCCAGGCTTTCACCTCCACCATTGCAGAGAACCACACTGATGGGGCCACGTGCTCTGTGCTGCAAACACCCGTGGTCACGTGGCCTGTCAAGGGCGGCCCCCAACCTGGTTGTCCCATCTCTCCTTCCTGAAGCCTGGCTTCTCTTGGCTTTCAGGGTGACAGCCCCTCCTGGTTCTCCTCCTCCCTGCAGCCCCTCTGCAGTCCCTCTGTAGGAACCTTGACCCAACCAACAGCATCTTAGCTTTAGGACTTATTATACTACTTAAGGACCTATTCTCAAAGTTCTGCCAAATTATTTAGAACTGAGGTATCTGTCATTAAGATTAAAAAGGTTAGCGCAAAATGTTTAAATACCTTGTATAGGATCATTGACTTAGAACAGTGATGAGTTCAAGCCATGTGTGTAACTAATACAAAGTTATGAGATTCACAAAATATAGCACTCTATCACCCAGACTCTATAAACACTAGTTTAAATTTCCTGAGATGACGACAGGTCAACCTTAACTCCAGAAAGCTTTCAGATCCCATCTGCAATACCCCTCTGCGTTCCAGCCGTGTGTATCGTGTATCTTATGCACAGCTGGGGCTCCGTCCCCACCAAACTTCAGCAGAGAACTCATCTGCCCAGCGCAAGTTATGCTCCCCCTAAATGGCACCACCCAAAAGGCCATGTGTCCAGGGAGGCACACCTGCTCTCGCAACCTCAAAGGCAGCACAAAGAAAGCGCTGGCCAAGGCAATACTACAAAAGCCATGACTACTTTTTGGTAACATAAGCACCTTCCCTAAGGTGTGGTGTGCCCATTCTTCCCAGTTAAAGAGGTATTAGCTTCAATCAGCCGGTGAGGAAACCAACACCAGAAGGGTAAGCCCTCTGGCTCAAGTTCTCTAAGAGGGGAGTGCGATACCCCTTCAGGTGGGCTGGATGCAAAGCACACAGCACATCGGCTCCTACCAGGATGAGCCCCACGAGAAGTCGCACCCACACGTCCTGGTTCACTGGGAAGGGAACTGCAAAACAGCAAAGTATCTGTCTTCTGGGGGTTGGGAGTACACTAGTCTTCCTGCTGCCAAATTCCTTTCCTCTTCTTTTTCAGGGCACTGAACTGAGTGGAGGCTAATGCTACCTGCCAATCTTAATGGCCAGCAGAGAACATAACCTCACCTCCTTGACAGTCCAAGCCACCAGGAACCTGAAAGCATTAATAAGTTTTATTTCTTTGGCAGCAAAATTCTCCCCACAAAGAAATAAAAAGATATCTGAAAAGAGGAAGATACTGGGGAAGAAAGGGCAAAGAATAATCTACCAAAAGCCTTAATTCTTCCTATTCCATTAAGTTTGTTTAATGAATAATCAATGACTTTTTGTTCCTGAATCTGTCCGATTTTCTGGGGAGGAGGGAAAGAGTCAAATACTTCAAACAGAGTTGGATACGGGAAGAGAGTTCACTGAAACCCCAATACTTTGCATGCACGTGGAGTGCTCACAAAGGGTTTCCAGGCATGTGCAGTCCAAGTGTCGGAAGAGACGGTCATGAAGGGCCCGCTGGGCACTACTTCTCTGCTCTGAGCAGAGCAAACTAGTGGGGAGGACGTAAACCTGCTACAGTGATCCAAGGGGCTAGCTACTTCAATTTAGCTCCACTGATGTTCCCCAAGACCCATTCCCTTATCTTAACAAAAGTCAGAATTTCTTGTACCAGTAACAGTCTTCATAACCCAAGCTCTGGCTTAGATGTGCCATGTGATCTGGGGCAGTCACATAATTTCTACCTTCCTATTTGCAAAGAAGAGAAAATACTTACTTGAATCGTCTATTTTCAGAAACTTCTTCACTGTTTATAAAGCACTTTGCCCTTCCACAAAGCCTCCTGACTGCAATTTAGAACACTCATTTTAAAAACCCTGTGATTTCACTGGACTCGGTTCTAGAACGGATTAAATGCTCCACTGAGTCTGTCACCCTTGACCATCTTGACATTCTAAATGGTCTACAACAGCCCTGGGGAATTGCCGGACAACAAGAATAATATTCTACCCCCACTTCACTTCAGTCCCACCCTAAAGAGAAGATTGAATTTTCTTACTTGTATCTGATCTTTTCATCCATGTCTTGAGGTGGTTCTTCTATAATGAATGAGACTAAATCTTCGAGACATTCTGCTTTTAACAGAAACTCTATAAGTTTGCGGTTCTGAGCTTTACATTCCTGTAAAACATCTTCCTCATCCATTAACTCCTTCAGTGTTACATCTTCTCTTTCTAGAAGTGTGTCTATGTGGGATGATGAATGAAGATCAAATTTCCAAAACATGCTGGTCTAAACAAAATGCAGAGAGTATTTCAAATAAAATTTCAACTTCACATATTAATTTTTCAAATTTTAATTGAGTTTTACAATCTAAAATGCCAACTTGAGTCACATAAGTAAAATAAGTGTCATATTGAACCTATAAAATACTTTCTAAGTAAGTAAAATCGGCAGGATTTTTCCTTCTCAGAAAATAATTTTATTGGTAACAAAAAATTTTGACTTAAAAATGCTGAAAGAATGCTTAAACTTGGGTTGATTTTAACCTACAATATTAACCCATCCACACTTTGTTAAGAATTTAACGCTGGGAGGGGCACCTGAGTGGCTTAGTCGGGTAAGTGTCCGACTCTTGATCTCGGCTCAGGTCTTGATCTCACAGCCATGAGTTTGAGCCCCAATACTTAAAAAAAAAAAAAAAAAAAAAAAGAATTTAATGCTGGGAAAGGAAGAAAGAAAACCCTTTCTTACAGTTGAAGAACATTCTTACGCAGAAGTTATATCTTCAAGCAACAAATGACAAGCACTGTGACCTAAGTATCTAGCATTCTTCAGAATACTAAAGAATTACACTAGCATTTTCAGCCACTGAGAGCAGTTTCACAGCCGAAAGTCATAAAATGATAAAATCTGTGCCATTCTTAATAAAGAAACTAAACAAGTGGAACCTAGTTCTTGACGAATGAGGGAAACCAATATCCTCAGTTATCAGGAAAAGCAATGGACATTAACAGGGCCACATATATATATTCTTTCCTTCTCTTCCTCCCACCCTTCCTCAACCAGTGAGGACAGGAAGTTTGTTTTCTTCAAGTTACAGTTAAAGAGGGTCCTGACCGGTCACAACCGGCAACAGGAAGCACAGGAGTCACTACGTCATCTGCAGCTGCCATGACAAGACATTTTCAAACGCCACTTTTGAGCAACACATGACAAGATGACAGCATCAAACAAAAGTCCTGATTAGGGACAGGACTATTCACAAGTCACTCCTATCTGTCAAAGATGCTCACTGCAGAACCCCTGACACAGGGTTTGGTAAGACACCTTCTGACTTCATGTAACCCCCAAACCTACAGATCAACTGCAGCTTTACTATCCACCCAGGATAGCGGCTCCTGTTACCGTTATCACCAAAAAACATGTTAAAATCCACATGTGCTCATGTAAAATCCTGTGTTGGAAGAGCTTAGGTAGAAGGAAGGAAGCTGCAAAGGTCATAACCTATGTATAGCACACATACATTTTGAGAAGGATTTATTTTTGCTAAATCACCCATATTAGATCAGGTAGGAATATACCCTGATTTAGTATTTTCATGAACATCTGTTCAAAAAATATTTTAAAAATCAGACATCATGGAGGACAAATGTTATGTATACAGCCAGTCATACTGATCAATCCAGGAATAGAAGAAGAAAGATGTGTGCACGGCAGGTCACTCAAGAGCCTGTAGAAGTATATGCACTTCACCTGACTTCACTATTACGTATATAATCAACACAGTCTGAAATATAAGCAAAGTTTTAAGGAATCTTAACAAAAAAGGACTCCTTAAGAGAACACGTTTTAGGTAAGATTATGAAATATGGTGTTATAAAAGTTGTCCCTGCTTCAAAAAAAGCTTTCAATGTTTCAAAAGATACATATGGCCATATACTCACATCCAGTCAGCAGCAGCAGGAAGACACAGTTAGGAATGAAGCTACTGTGACAGTTCACCTAAACCGGACTGGCAACGCCTCACTCTGGAGGCACCTGTAAGTGGAACTGTCCGCCACAAAGCTCAATGGAGGACACGAGTACAAGGCACAGCCATCTCTCTCCTCTGAACGATCAGGCCACTAATTATGTACACAAGACCTAGAACACGCTAAAAAAGCAGGGTCACAACTCCCAGCATGGTCAGCAACCACCCACATGCTAGGCCTCTGGCCTTCAAGACCAGGAGCAGGCAGAGTGCTCCCTGGGAGTGTAACACTTTTGTTGGTGAAGGACAGAAACACATCCTTCCAACACAAGAGCAATCTGCTTCCACTTCTAAGGCAGTTACTAAGGAAATAAGGGCAAAGGTGATATATCCCTAATAAGAATGGAACTTTAGGGAAAAAGATGGTGGTAATAAAACTGTGGAAAATGGCAAACAAACAAAAGAGATGTTATTATGCCAGTTTATCCTCATCAAACAAGGAGGGAAAAAAAGACACAAGGATAGCAAAAGATAACTCCAAAGGAGGAAAGAAAGGAGCTTTCCAAAGTAATGCTGTCAGCACAGTCTCCAGCGCTTCTGCTGGAGCAATGTGGCTCATTTATCTGGGAGTTTAAGACTGCAAATCCTAAAAACAGCACATGCTACCACTCTGCCTCCCTCTTGCTACTGAAGTGTACGAGGATGCACAGCTGTGTTCACACACAGACACAACACACAAGGCACAGGCTATATTTGGATTCCACGCATGTATCAACCTGCACGGTTTTTAGGAGTAGATGCAGGCACCCAGGACAGACAGTGCAGCTCCAGTTCAGCTCAAGGAGCAAAAGCACCTTATTGAACTCCAAAAACATCATCATCCACGTCAGTACACCTTGTCTTCAAAGTCAATCATGGAAATTTTGATTTCCATCAAAATTCATCCATCCCGGGATGTCTACAAATTGACAAAAGAATTCATTTTCTTAACGTTTTAAAAAATATTTTATTTATCTATTTGTCAGAGAGAGAGAGAGAGCACAAGCAGGGGAAGCAGCAGAGGGAGAAGCAGGCTCCCCACTGAGCAGGGAGGCCGATGTGGGACTCCATCCCAAGACCCTGGGATCATGACCCGAGCAGAAGGCAGATGCTTAACTGACTGAGCCACCCAGGTGTCCCCATATTACTTATTTTAAATACTTTGGCAAAGTCACTGACTGAAAAGCTACCAGGTGTATTCAAATATTTCCCATGCTCCACCGACATCAGGTCAGACTGGGCTTATTTTGGCCTGTAAATCAAATTTCTGATAATCTAACAGAATGGTCTCTCCACCTGAATTCAGAAAACTGGACACAGTTAAAAATTTAGCCTGAAGTATTTTTTTAAAAATTAGGTCTCATTTAAAGTAGTATGCTTTTTTAGGGTGCCTGGGTGGTGCAGTTGGGTTACACGTCTCTTGGTTCAGGTCATGATCTCAGCATTGTGAGATCCAGCTGGGAATCTAGCTCCACTCAGCGCCAGTCGGCTTGTCCCTCTCCTTCCCTCCTCCTGCCCCCTCCCCCTGTACCCATGCTCTCTCTCTCTCTAAAATAAATAAATCTTTAAAAAATAAAGTAGTATGCCTTTATTTTTTGTAATCCCATATAGAAAGGCAAAGTATAATGAAAAATACTAAGAAATCAATTACAAAAAAGCAAAGTTGATTATCAAGACCTTAGGATTGGCTAGTTATAAATAAGATACACACTCACATCCATCAAGTGGAAACTATAAATGTCCACAAACTAGATAAAGTCCATACTCCTCAATTACTGATCAGAATATAATCACATCGATGTAGTACAAGTAAAAACTGCGCCCCAAATTTCAACCTTATAACAGTAACCCCTTAAATACTGGATTTATAAGAAGACTGATAATTAGCCATGACGACATAAGAGCAGGAGTTGGCAAACTGCAGCCCACAGACCAAATCCAGCCCACAGCCTGCACACTAAGAATGGTTTAGATATTTTTAAAGGGTTGTTTTAGGGGAAGAGAAGAATGTGTGACAGAGACCAAATGTGGCCCACAGAGCCTGAAATATTTACTACCTGGTCCTTTACAGAAGGAGTTTAGCATCCCTGGCTCAGGAGGAAATCAGGTTCCCACTAACTCTATCTTTCCCCCCATTATCTCTGAGACTACATGGGTGTCCACCCTGGGCCTTCGCAGCCCACCCAGCAGGGTGCGGTCACACGGTGCTGGGCCAGATATCTAGAGACCCATTCCCCTTTCCCTAGCGGTTTACGAAGACCACGTTCCCAACTTCTTGGGCAAGTAGGTATTGCCACGTGACAATGTCTTCCCAGGTGTGCCATAAACTATTAAAACCTCCATGTACTCTCCTCTGCATCTGACTGGATGCCCAAGACAAAAAAGGCTCTCAGGGATGGCAGAGCCAAAAAATGGAAGGTGCCTCCATATCCCCAAATCACCACCTGGAAGAAAGCTGCCCGCCAACCTCAGAGCCTGCTGTGTTACGATGAGCCATCACACACCTGGTCTGTGTGTTCCAGCAGTATGTTCTACCTGACCAGCCAGCTCCTCTAAACCCGGAGCCTGTGACTTCTTGTTTTATTATACTTATTTAAGCACAAGAACAGGAATTTTTTAGCAACTGTTTAAAAAATGCCTAAGTCCTTTCATTTTCCACCATCCTGAATTAGAATAGCATTTTTTTTACATCAGAACACTTTGAAATATACATTTCCACAGTGCATTTTCTTTAAACTGGGTACGTTACAAACTTAAAAATAAAATAAAACCACAGTAGACTCCTTAAGCAAACATTATGTATTTTATCTTTTGGCCAAACAGCAAATTGACTGGAAATGAATGGCACCAGTAAATTAGTTACCCTAGCTTCTATTTGTGTCCTTTGAAGTAGAAACAAGCCAGGTATGAACAGTTACAAAGTTCAGCCAGGGCCCTGTGAGAAAATGGAGCCCTTTCAAAAATACAACTAAGATACTCAGAAAAACTAAAGGAGCCAGCACTTCAACAGCTAATTTTTAGTTAATATGAATACACTTTAAAATTCATACCCTAGCTATACCTGAGTAGGATTTAGGGATAAAAGGGGAAGCAATTTCTTACAGTAAACCAAATCACAGACTTTTCTATTAACAAGACAAAGAGGAAAATGGTAAATGAAACCAAACTATCTTTCTTCAAAATCCTAGAGTTGTTTTGTTTCTTTGGGTTTGGTTTTGGTTTTGGGGTTTTTTATTAGATTTTTACTTATCTATTTGAGAGAGAGAGAGAGCGCACGCAT